ACATTCATTTTTAGATCGCCTGTCATAATAATAACAATGGTTTTTACTATTGATATCAAAAATGGACTTTCCTTTAGTTAGGAATGGCCTGAGCGATACATTCAAGAACTGGGGACTAATCGCCTAACGAGATTGCTATGGCTATCGCTATCGCTTACGATATCCTTTTCTTATTTCTGACCGCTGTAGGGTTTGAATGCCTCGCACTATTTTTTTTTCTTTTGCATTGGTAATAACATTAAAGAAAATGAGCGTAAGGTACCTATTCGAAAATCTTCGGGGGTCAGAAATAACAATATGAAATTGACCCTCTGGTAAGACTACTGGGAACAGTAGGAAATTGAAAACATTCGAGAGAGAGAGTGACGATGCAGTGTATAATTATCGAATTATTGTTTTTATAGTTCCGTACCTCGAAAGGAAATAACGGAACCTTTATAAGATCACTTTGTTGGCCGTCCGTCCGTCTGTTAAAACCCTTCTTCTCAGTAACGCGTGGAGGTATTAAGCTGAAATTTATGCCTCTTGGAGCTGTGACAAAATCAAACTTCTAAGACAACGTAATCAAAAGATACGGCCGTTCATGCCGCAAATTTTCGAAACTCGCAAGGGAATCAAATCTACAGTACCCTTAGTACGAGTTTTACAATTACGAAAACTATAGTTTTCGTGAGCTCGCACTCTTACTAAGCTTACAGATTTTATTGTTTTCGTTACAATACAAATAAACAGTTTTTAAATTCTCTCATTAAATCATTTGCGTCTTCTAAAATTTTGAGTATATTTGGTTACTTTTCACCAAAATGGACATAGAAACATAACATACAATTACGAAAACTATGATAGTTTTCTTGAGCTCAAACTCGTACTAAGAGTACAGGGCACTTCCCGTGAACTCGGAATCTTGAAATTTGGTACGAAGCAACGTCTCATAGCACAGATAAAGGAAAAATTTGCGAAAGCCGTAAATATAACTACAAGTTTGTACGGAACCCGACTCGCACCTGGCCGATTCTTTTTATGTTAAGAGGTGGCCAACAAGTCTACGACCCGCTTGTAGACGCTTGCGATCTCAAAAATATCACTCGTGTCTGCCTACCTTGACCCAATCCCCAGCCCCGTGGAGCCCTTTTTTTATACGCAGGCAAAAAATACTATTTACAGACGACGGCGCCTTTAAGAGGCACACTGTACACGCATATCATGTCGCTTCCCAGTATGAATTTGCGCGCCTTGACTGTGGCGCGCATCATTGGTGCGTAAGGTAAAGCGGCGTGCCTGCGCGCCGGCCAATCAGCGAACCAGCCCCTAACAAGGGATATACTGAGTTTTTCCCGGATGTAACGGTCTTCGGCATCGGGGGCGCTCTACGGCTTCGGAACCACCACTTCGCCACGGTTGCTTACATCGGACGGACGGACCGGCTTCCTGGTATAACGGTGATACAGCGAGGACCACGGGGCCTCCCAACAGAAACTGCTATTTGCACGGTTTCGCCAGCTCGAGCCCTTCTATCACAGCAAAGGTAAGCGCACTTTTCTTACTGGGAACATGATTGCGTGTGTGTACCTCGGATAAAACCTATCTCTGTCTCACCTACTAGCCCTATCGGTATGAAACAAGTCCACTATAATTCACGGCGGTCGCGGTAAGTCATTAAACGGAACACACACCGCCGAACGGACCTCACACTTGGCTCCCGCAAGCCTTACGAGCCCCAGCAGTGGCTGCCCACTGAGGACCCCGTAACCCTTACGGGCACTTTACGTCACAATATCCGCTAAAAAACCTTGCGAATACCCGCTAAGCCGCTTAGCGCGAAGCCGCGGGATCCCCGTTTAGGGATTCTTCTGCCCCTAGCAGCCTCCCGGCCTAGCCGGGGCTCCGGGGCAGGGGTCTTCCGGGTATCGCGGGGACCCCGCCGACGCGCGCAGGATGGTCCCGCGCGTGGGGGCTGATTACGCGGCCTAGCGCCCCCCGTCCGCTGCGTATACTTGGGCGTGCCCATGTAGCTTCCTCCGCCGTCCCCCTCTTTGCAGGACAGAACTACAAGGGGGGGCTGCCGTCACGGAGTCCGTCGGTGGTCGGCACAGCTGACGCCATGCCGTCAACGAGGGACCCCCCAACCCCGTGCAGCCCTGGAACCATACTCACCGACAGAAACACAACACCACCAAAAGGTACCTGGTAGGTCGGTTTAGTTGTTGTAACATTCGGGATAATTGCCCGTGGTCCCAGCTACCCCTGGTGGGTTTTCCCCTGGTGGGTAATATTTTAATTTCCCATCGTTTCGAACGGTGTTCGCCAGTAGGTCAACAGGTATGTAAGTTTATTTATACCATGGTACCACCCCAGTAAGTGATAAAAAATAATTAAAAATTATAGCTATTATGTGGTGAAATTTTGACGACGACCTCCGTGGCCTAGTGGTTTGTACACCGGGTTTTAAGGTGTCGCTTATTCGACAGGTCCCGTGTTCGAATCCCGGTGGGGCAGATGTTTGTGTGATGAATACAAGCATTTGCACTCTAGTCAGTCATAGATGTTTAATATGTATTTCTATATAAATATATATTTTAGTAATGTATTCTATCCGTTACCCTAGTATCCCATAACACAAGCCTACAGTGCTAACTTTGGGGCTAGGCTTGGTGTGAGTGTTGGAAATATTTATTTACCTTAGATATATGCACACATAATATTTCTTTGAAATTGTTTAGGAGCCATCAGGCGCCAGAGGTCTAACTTCAAATAGCCCGTTTCTCATGAAGGAGTGCAGTCACGGACAGAAGAAATGGGTAATATGAAGATAATTATAAAACCACGAGAAAGTGCAACTTTAAGACACTTACTAATAAACAAGGAATAAGCGTAGACTAGTTACGCCATGTTTTGTTCATATCACTCAAATGCCATTTGTCATTCGAGGAACAGAGACGAGAAGCTAGATGAAGATAGAATTTCGGCTAATATTCAACCACTAGTAGTATTTTATTGTACACAATACAAATAACATTAAAAAGAAAAAATAGCAGTACGAGAAGCTCGATGGGTGGTTAGCGCGTTCGGCTGCGATCGTTGAAGTTAAGCAACTTTCGCAGTGGTCGGTCATTGGATGGGTGACCAAAAATCTTCTATATCAGCTGCATCTGCAGTACTGGGCCTGCGTGGTGGGTCATGGCCCAATCTCCCGATTCCACCCATAGGGAAGGCCTGTGTCCCAGCATTGGGGATATTAATAGGCTGATGATGATGAACAGAGGCAAAACATGGAGTGACTATTACAAACGAATTCTCCGTTTGTTAATAAGGGGTAAGTGTTGTTGTTAGCCTATACGTAGTTGATGTTACTTTGGCTTATGGCTCACTCATTAAATGAAACAAGTTTTTTAACGAGCTTAAAATGCGTCTTTAACACTTCTTATGGTAGACATACACACTACGAGAAATCGTTACGATTAGACTGTACAGTCTGAACGGTACCGATAAATCGTAGCGTGTATGTTATAAAACTGCACAGTTCCCTATACGTACGCCACGTACGATAAACTGTTCCGTTCGAACTGTACAGTCTAATCGTAACGATTTCTCGTAGTGTGTATGGCTACCATTACAGAACTCGACGTTCCGAAAGGATACCTTCCTCTCTCGCTCGTCAAAAGTAAATTAGAAAATCCTATTTCTTGACAACGCGCCCTGAAAAGGATGCGGAACGTAGAGTTCTGTAAAAAAAGTATTAAAAGGCAAGCAAAAACTTGTTTCATTTAATTCAGACCTTTTTGATGTGAAACATCTTTTGGGGCAAGTAAAACCGATTTATGGCGTGGCGACGCTCGCCCGTAAAATGCAAATTAAACCAGGGGGCCAATTGCCTAACCGGATTGCTTTGGAAAACGCTATCACTTACGATTTCATTTTGTTATTTCTAGCTGCCTGAGGTTTTCAAATGCCTCGCGCTCTTTTTTTTTCTTTTGCATTGGCAATAACAATATTAAATAAAATGAGCGTGAGGTATTTGAAAACCTTCGGCGGTCAGATATAACAAAAAGAAATCGTAAGCGATAGCGTTTTCCAAAGCAATAAAGTTAGGCGTTCTGCCCCCAGTGCTCAACTACTCGACACGGTTCCCAACTTAGGGGTTTTGCCCCCAGATTTAGGGGCTAGGTGGGTTAAAACGGACTTTTTTAGGTCCTGGAATTTTTTGGGGGTTCTTTAAGGGGCTTTTGTCAATACTTGCAATTAAATCGAAAAACAAAGCGTGTGTTTTCTTTCAGTTGTGTGCGTAGAATGGAACGTACCACCATATGAAACGACTGAACTCACTGTGTAGCAGGTTATGTTCTATGGCTGTATGGACTACAGTTTTTTGCCTTCCACCAATCAAAACAGCCTATCAGCTCATTTTCGTTTGATTTTCCATTTGGAAAATGTATTTATTCAATAAAATAATTTACTGTAACTAAATATGTAACGTTTTAATTTATGAGCAACGAAACAATTTAGGTAATAAGATTAGTAGCTATATTTAGGGGATTTTAGGGGAATTTAAAAAATACTTAGGGTAAAATTTTGGGAAGGGTTGGTGCTCGCTACTCGCCGATCAGTACGGCGCCAGCGCCCTTCGAGGAAGGATTTAGGTCTTTTTTTACCGCAAGCATCCCGAGCAATACTCCGAGTGTATTTATCGTATTTATCGTTCACGTCTGCCAGGCGTCCGATGACAGCTCACATTCTTTTAATAAGCATCGTTGATTCGGTAGTAAAAAGCTCGCCAGCTGCGCGGGCGGCCCGGGTTCTATTTCTATTGGAGGTAGGACTTTTTTTTTATAATTTTAAGTTTCACTTGCATCGTGGTTTCATAAAACCGCACCAATTATTTTGTTACGTATTCTAAATAAGTTGTATTTATTTATGTGGGTTAATGTTTAGATAATTCTGTTTTTAAGTTTTTAGACACTAAGTAGGTAAGAGTATGTAATAATAATAAATAAACAATATTATATGCTCGTATTATATACGTATAATAAACAGAACACAGTTAATGATCAGGAAAACTTGACAGTTATAGACATTTTTTTTCAGTGGTAAACATATTAATATATGAAGTTTGCACTAGTCAACAATACTTGTGTGAAGTATGTCCTAGTACAGAATTATGGTTGCAACTCTTCTATATTTTCCCTTGCAGCGTTGCAGTAGAGTTGCTCCTGGAGCTCACAGGCGCAACGACCTGTATCGGCACTCTGATGCACATCACTGCTGAGTTATTCTGGTCCACAATCCTGAACTCCACACTGGCGCTGGTACCCTAGACAGAATAAAAAAGGTATACTTTACGATGCATCAAAAACTAGGTAGCTATGGATAATAGAATTTGCACGGGCGAAATTAATTGAAAACTAGCAGCCGCCTGCGACTTCGTCCGCGTTAACTTTAGTTTTTTGAGAATCCCACAGGAACCCAACTTGGGTCTCAATCCAGGTTGCAAACTATAAGCGTACTTAGTTTTATCCAAATCCGTTCAGTCGTATTTGCATGGTTGAGTAACGGACAAACTCACTTTCTCATTTTATATTTTTTAGCATATTAGGAATTGTAGGATAGCCCACACAAATAAATAGCATATCACACTAATATTATAAAGGAGAAAGTTTGTGTGTGTGTGTGTGTGTGTGTGAGTGTGTATGGTTGTTACTTCTTCAAGTTCAAACGGCTGGAGCGATTTTAATAAAATTTGGTAAAGAGTCAGCTGACACCCTGGATTAACACATAGGCTACGTTTTACTACGGGAAAATATCCCTAAAAAACCGCAGGTAACACCGCGGGGCACAGCCAGTAAAATATAAGCCTATGTCACTCAGGAATAATGACCCTTGCGCACACCTCCTATTATTGATATATTATTCAACAACCATGTATCATTATATTTTTTATTATTTTAAAGCATGTAACTGCTTGATGTTTAAATCTTGATGTGAGGGCCGCGGTAGCATAATTGGTCAGTGCATTCGCCCGGATTGCGAAGGGTGCGTGTTCGAGTCCCGTCTGCTGCCTGGTCCGCGTGGAATTTTTTCTAGTTATATTTTCTTTAGATTTAAACATCAAGCAGTTACATGCTTTAAAATAATAAAAAATATAACTATATTTGCTATTTCTTCTTTCAAATGTTTAATATTTGAAAAAGTATTCATTTGACATTGTGGGTTACCTATAATGCGAAGACATGGTGCTGCATTGTAGCTTAAGAATGGCTAGAAGAATTTCGACGCGGTCTGTGAGGGCCGCGGTAGCATAATTGGTCAGTGCATTCGCCCGGATTGCGAAGGGTGCGGGTACGAGTCCCGTCTGCTGCCTGGTCCGCGTGGAATTTTTTCATGTATCATTAGTTCAGTTTCTTTTATTTCTCAAGGGTAAATTATTTTTTTGGACAAGAAAACCATTTTTATTTGTAGTTTTCTTTACGATGCCCTCTCTGCGCATAGATCTTATGGCGTCTTTTTTGCAGCATCCACTATGGACTCCACTCAGTTAATTTAAGAGAGGTACGGCATAGAAAGGTACCAAAAAAACATTTTTTTTTCTTGTAAAAAAAACCTTATAAAAAACCTGTTTCTCATGTTTTTTCATTTGATTTCATATCGTAGGGCATATCGGATTTCCTGCTCGAATTGGAACGCACTTTTGGGAAAGTAACAAGAAACTTTTCTCACAGAACACCCTACCACAATAAAATAACACTACAATTTTGGTTTTATAGAATTTCTGTGGTGGCTCTACGGATAGGGGCGTGGGTCTGGGTATGACACAATGACGTATAATATATAGACAGGTCATACACCAACATTATTACATTTTAAAATGGCACAAGTAGTCCCCGCCGCCATAGAGTGCACTAATGGTAGCCATACACACTACGAGAAATCGTTACGATCAGACTGTACAGTTCGAACGGAACAGTTTATCGTACGTGGCCGTACGTATAGGAAACTGTGCAGTTTTATAACATACACGCTACGATTTATCGGTACCGTTCGGACTGTACAGTCTAATCGTAACGATTTCTCGTAGTGTGTATGGCTACCATTAGTGCACTCTATGGCGGCGGGGACTACTTGTGCCGGCAGTATGGCTACCATAAAGTAGTCTCTTTCACTCTCATTCATAAAGCAATTACATCTCGCTCTATAGCCTCCGCGTGTCAACAGTGTCAGCAACTGTCAACAGTGTCAGCAACTGTCAAAATAAGTAATTACTAAATATTTTTACATTAATTTCTTTAAAACTACTTACGAATGAAATGACACGATTTTCTAGTCTCTAATAGTTCCCATGTATTTTGTGTACTATCTAAAAACACACATGAGGCTTTTTATCTGGAAAAACATAGAATATTTACACTTTGTAGCGAAGAAGGCGTGCCCGACCGAATGTAAGTCGGGCAATTACCTGACGTTCGTGTTGCCAAATTAGACGCGTGTATAATGTATCTTTAACTTTGAAACATCATAGTTTACCTGCATTTAATATATTGTACCTACCTAACTATAGGTATAAAAATAAATACTTTTAATAGGCCTTCACAATGCAGTCGTTAGCACCCACTAAATAGAGATTCTATTTCTATTTTGTTGGTAGATTTTCTTAATGTGCGGTAAACACAAAAGTAACAGCATGAAGTTGGTCGCTAAAGCGACCAACTTCATGCTGTTAATATTTTGTGTTGCAGTGATGCGCGCGCATCTTAAAATTTCACTCTCATCATTTTTTCATAACGCGCCTAAAGAAGTATAACTTCAATAATTTCTTAAGATTTAAACATCTTGCAGTTAAATGCTTTAAAAATAAAATATAATATAACCAACTACAATTGCTATTTCTTCTTTCAAATCTATCTTCTATATATATAAAACTCAAAGGTGACTAACTGACTGACATAGTGATTTATCAACGCACACCCCAAACCACTGGACGGATCGGGCTGAAATTTGGCATGCGCTGCGAGAGATGTTATGACGTAGGCATCCGCTAAGAAAGGATTTTGATCAATTCTACCCCCAAGGGGATAAAATAGGGAATAAAAGTTTGTATGAAACTTTGTCAATTTTAAACCGATCGGGCTGACACTTTGCATGCAGATAAGAAGAATCATAGATGAATGTCATTGTGTATAATACAAGCCTGAGAACAAAAACTGTAGTCTACACTTCAGCTCTATACCGAAGCGAAGCGAGGGCGGGCCGCTAGTGTTTATTAGGTACTTGTAAAGGTAGGTATTCGTTTGGCATTGCGGGTTACCTACAATGCGAACAGATGGTGCTGCCTTGCAGCCTAAGAAATACAAGAAGAATTTCGACACGGATATTAAGGTCGCGGAAGCATAATTGGTCAGTGCATTCGCCTGGATAGCGGAGTGCGCGGGTTCGAGTCATGTCTGTTTCCTACATTTTTTTCTAGTAAAAGTTTATTAAGACAAAAAGTGTTACTTACGACTGGCATGAAGGATTCGATGAACATTTTCAGCTGATAGGTGAGGATCTCGCCTTCACGCACGGGACAGGAGCTCTGTATAAAGTTGCAGGTCACCGCGTTGTCTCCCAGCGGGTACGGGACCGGCAGAATACCGAGGAACGCTGTCGCCAGTGTGGTCATGCTTTGCATCGGTCTAGCTGGAAAAAGAAGATGGATATTATAATAATAATAATAAGTAAAAATAAAGTTGCAAGTTGTTTTTATGTAAATTGCATTTATTTATTTATTTGCATTCGACTTAGGTTGCGCTGATAAGAATTATTTGTCACTATAGTGAAAAATTACAGTCTCTTCCTTAAAATGTATCTATGTACGTACAAAACAGAATCGTTTTTTGCTTTGATCTCGCCATGACTTGAGAACGACTTTTCCAGTTTCAATTATCTTTTTTAAAGTTTCCTTACAACCCGTAGAAGGTCGTCAACCAAAATGGCAGCAATGACACTAAGGCCCGTTTTAAGAAAGATTCTCAGTGATTGATCTAGTCTTGAGCATATAGTTAGAAAGGGATGTCGCTATAATATAGCACATAGCGAAGTCCCTTTCTAACTGTACTCAAGTACAGATCAACACTTAGTTGTCATTCTGTAATACGAGCCTAAGCGTGTTGCTGTCGGTATTCAGTCTACAAAATAGATTCGAGAAAAGGATGTCAATGTGACCGTGCAGGGTTTTCAAACAGGCGCATCCAAACGACACAGAAACCTCTTTCTGTGATCGGTGGATGTAGTTATCTCACGGCGCTTGTTAAGAGACGATTTCTAACCGAGTCTAGGCACAATTTCAAGCCGTGTCAAAATACGACACGGACGCAAGCGAAGGTTTGGGCTCGGTATAAACGTAAAAAAATGGTTGCCTGTAAAGTCGGTTTTACGGGCGAAGATTTTACGTGACAACGTCTTTTTCTCGGTAGAATATTTATTGATATGAATATAATTAAATTGCACAATAGGAACAAGGAATTGAATGAAAATAAGAATTGCACAAATTTTAACTATAGAAATATATTTTGTTTACTAAAACATTGTACATGTAAACTTAAACTTAACACGAGAGACTCATCGTAACGTTACCGAGCGTTACACTTTTTCATAAGTGACTCCCAGCCGCAACCTAATTTAAGACGTTGTCACGTCAAAAACCGTGCTCATGAACAAGCTTAGCCGTCAACGGCCCGAGCTGCCTCCCCCTCAGGAAATGCCATGTGTCAACTTACGTGCTCTGAAGACGATGTCGATCACTGCATCCTGCAACTGTGGCAGCCGGCATGGCGGCGTCTCGCAGCCTTCGATGTACACGTTTAATGGCAGAGCACCCGAAAACACGGTGCCTGGAAATCACATTTAATAACGTCAAGAGTTATTTAAAAATTCTATTAACTAAATCATCAATCATCATCATCAGTCCATTTATTGCCGGTCGGCAAAACATAATGTTACTTTACAGTGGTCTTCTGTTGACTCTCCAGTGTCACCATATGAGGAAATAAAAAACGCGGTAAGGGTTACTGGGGCGTATTTTAAAATCTAGCGCTCCGGACCACTTACGATTTGTACCCCTTAGTAACTATTAAGTAATCTGTGCCCTTAGTAAATCAAATCAAAATATAGGTGCACCCTCCAAGCCTGCCACCCCGGGTCATTGTCCTCTTGGCCCCAGGGTTCATACGCTAGACGCGGTGAAGTCCCTCAACGGGGATCTCGCGGTTTTGCAATTAACCAGGGTAGGGGGTATTCGCAGGGTTTTTTAGCGGATAGTATAGCCGTAAGCGCTCGTTAGCCGCGCGGACTGCTTAACGGCTACCGTGTAGGGTTACTATTTAAAAATTTGAAAAGTCCTGACAAAAAGCCTGACATTTCGAAAAAAGTCACCCACTCAGTTACAGTGATATTATACGCGTGGTAGCAGACGCTCGCATCGCGAAGGTGCTCTCGTTGTTGATTTTTAAAGATAATTTATATTTTGTTTTAAAATCATGAGAACTTAATAAATAAAGTAATTAGTTAAGTAGTTTTACTCATATTCTATCTAATTAAATAATCCGGACAAATTAAAAAGCCGGACAAAGTATGGACATGTCCGGACAAATCCGGACGGATGGTAACCCTACTCCCGTGAGACCTGCGAGAGGTTAGGTGTGAGGACCATTCGTTGGTGTGCACCTTAAGGGCGCCAACGTCTGTAAATATATAACCAATACCTCTATTGCCTGCGTAATAAGAAAAAGGGTTAATACGCCCCTGGCTGGATGGGTACAAAAAGGCGGATTTTCAAACAAAAAAGCGACACTTACAATTAGCACCCTGCTCCAGAAATTAAATTTCTTATTTCACAAATCAAGGAACGCATGGTACCCATGCATGAGTGCGGTAAAAGAAAAAAAAATAAATGGGCACATTGAATATAAAACTTTTTAGGAAGGTCCAATGGACACCAAAAAAGAGGTCTAATGGGCACTTTTTGCTTTTGGGTCGAATCTTGAGGGTCCAACAGGTACTAGACCGCGGTAATTAGAGGTCGTTATAGTAGATTCGAAAAATGCGATACCGCAACCGCACCGGGATAAAGCCGAACGTGGATCCATTGTTCTTTAATAACACTCCCATGATTAAGATGAATCGATTGACGTATTAATCGTCAAAATCGGTCCACGCGTTGGGTCTCTAGTGTGCCACAAAGGAACATATATACTCACATATTATAGACTGTTAAACATTATACCCTGTCTGCGCGTCGCGGTTTACGCTGCTTGCGTGCGCCACAGAATAGGCTTATATATACAGGGTTAATTTTAAAAAAACCAATAACCTCTTAGGGGGTGATTCTACCCATCAACAGGAACAACTTTTATTATGGGACCAACGCTGAAATCGCGAAAGAAAAAGTTGTTGGTGTTTTAAAATTAACTCTGTATACTGCGCGTGCGCAGTCGGGTCAATAGGCGCTAAAAAGCGGAAAATCGCTGCTTATGATCTGACAACACTGGGTGGAGGTTGCTTCCTCAGGCGGGCGCTCTATTTTGAGCGGACATACAGATTAAAAGTGTTTAAATTATATTTACATCGGTTAACTGCAGTCGTCTGTGCCCTCACAGTCAAGATCGCAGCCAGGAGAACCACCACACGCAACATGTTGACTGTTTGATAAACCTTAGTTTGACTGTCCAATTAGTGGCATTGATTGTTTTATAAGGAATGTTATCTATTTATTTTGATAAACACTATCTTATTTAGTATTAAAGCTCGGGTTTGCTCGTTAGGGTTCCGTACCTCAATCGACAAAAACGGAACCCTGATAGGATCACTCGGTCTGCCTGTCTGTTACAGTCGATTTGCTCGAAATCTTTGTTACATTATGCTTTTAATGTTGTGGAGATTTTTTCGCTCGTTTTACTCCGCAGCTAAGAAATATGTCCAATAACGAGTGGTAGGGGAAAAAAAATGTTTGGACGATTCAAAAGTGTTGTACTATACATCCAATTTGAATAAAGATATATTGATTTCTGATTTCTGATCTACTAGACCGATCAAGTTGAAATTTAATACATACATATGCTTTTGATCCAAACACGGATGAATAAAGGAAATATATAAATTTCGAATATGAGGGTTAACTTTTGAGGGGTGAATAAGCGATTTAAAATTTTGTTAACAGAGCCATGTTATAAAATAAACGAATTAGAAATAAGACAAACTGCGAATTCGTCAAGTCCTCATTTTGTTAAATTTGCATATTTTTATAATTTACCGCAATTTATCAAAAACGCCATTAATCAATAAACAGCAACAAATAAATAAAAGTACTTAACAAATGAGGAGCTCGATAGCGCAGGTGGATAGCGCGTTCGGCCTGCGATCGTGGAAGTTAAGCAACGTTCGCAATGGTCGGTCATTGGATGGGTGACCAAAGACTGATTATCTCAAGCTTCTCCGTGCTTCGGAAGGCACGTTAAGCCGTTGGTCCCGGCTGAATTTGCAGTCGTTAGCACCCACCAATCGGCACTGGGCCCGCGTGGTGGGTCACGGCCCAATCTCCTTATTCCATCCATAGGGGAGGCCTGTGCCCCAGCAGTGGGGACATAAATAGGCTGGTGATGATGATGATAATAACTTAACAAATACATATGTTTCAGTTTTATAAATTTTTTTTTTGCTAAGTAATTGATTTCCAACGAAACAGATCAAATACTTTAAGACCCGTATTATAGAAAGATTCTCAGTGATTGATCTAGTCTTGAACATAGTCGCTATATATAGCACATAGCGACATCCCTTTCTAACTGTACTCAAGTAAAGATCAACACTTACTGTCATTCTGTAATATGGGTCTAAGGCCCGTCATCCCTTTCTAACTATGCTCAAGACTAGATCAATCACTGAGAATCTTTCTATAATACAGGCCTAAGAGATCTAATCCTCCAACCAATATCAATACAGTTTTCTATATATAGTTTTTTTATATTTTGGCGTCTTATATTTTGTCGGATGTTTTCCTTTTCTTTATAAAATTTAAGCTTAATGTAAATGTGATTTTGACAGAATTGTCTGAGAAAGAGAATGTGTCACAAGGCACTTAAATGGAACAACATTTTTGTGAAATTAAAGTATTCATATATTAAACAAATATGTATTAGATTTTCATCCAATGTCGCCATTAGTCGCCCGCGACACGACGAAGTCTATGCTATCTCGATTTTAATAAATAGTACTTAACCTGGACTCTCTAGGACTAGTGAGCGTTATTGACGTTAAAAAAGAAGTCTTGACAGCCCTGCCCAGACCCCACTTAGCCCCTGTACTCGGGTAGCGACCCTGCACAAAATAAATAGTATACAGAAGATAATCTACATATTAAGTGCGCTCGAACAACGCACACATGACACCGCTCACGGACACTGTATCTCAGACCGATTGGGACCACTGCGAGCGCAATTTCCATACGCTTGAGACATGCATCTGTGAACTTTTTTATGCAAAAATGGACAATGGAATAACAAAAAAAAAGGTAAATTTAAAAAATCAAAAAACCCGACTGCTTAATTATACTTCAAATAAAAACTGAAAAGAAAAAAACAAGTCCAGTAGTCTATAATTCTGTTAATAAGGAACAAAACTACTTTAACAGTCGGGACCCATTAGATATTCAAGAATACATAATATTTTTCAACAGTGGGTCCCGACTGTTAAAGTAGCTTTGTTCCTTATTAACAGAATTATAGACTACTGGACTTGTTTTTTTCTTTTCAGTTTTTATTTGAAGTATAATTAAGCAGTCGGGTTTTTTGATTTTTTAAATTTACCTTTTTTATTTCACACTTTTTAGTTAGTTAGTATTTTAAGACGGTATATACCGTAGTCTTGTTACTTCAGTAAGGGAATTAATATCGCGGGAATTATTAAGTACGTCGGTCTAAAAGATTGATTTATTAAGACATATAGAGACTTTACCAGCGGGGTCAAGGCTACAGATGGACCTCAATTTTCGCAAAAATGTGTGAAGTTAAATCAAGTCGTTACATAAATATCTCTTATGTATGTAAATTTTATAGTAAACTAGCACTTACCCAAAAAGTCATCTTTTGTTTATGTTTTTTTTAATAGTTTAGCAGTAAATATAAAATTCATTTACTTTTATTCGTCGACTATTTAAAATTGGCAGTGGCTGCATTGTCATGTCAATGCCGGACGTCTAAGATTGTGATATACACAAATGCAGTGTCAGTCCCTAGTCTCATAATTTGATATACCTACATAATTCACATAAAACCCAATATGTAGATGCCAGAAGTTAACTTCAAATGTTTTTAATCACCCTTTATACAATACCAATCAATGACGTTTATGTTGCAGGTTGAAGAAAGCAGTAATTCCCGTTTGTTGTTTTGGACAATGGTGGCAACTGCCTTAGATCACTAAATTAAATAATTATGCAATCACCAAAGCAAAGTTTATAATATTTGATTAAACTAAAGGCGCATAATAAAATTTTCATAACGTTAGGTAGAGCACCATAGCAATCTCATTTATTATCAATTTATAGTTCTCTTTGTAGTTTTCTTTTAAAGCGTTCACATATAACAGGTCAAAGACTTTGTGATCGACCCTTTTTTATTGGTAGTGTAAAGCTTGAATGAAGAATACTCCCAGTAGAGCAATCATGGCAATTATTTTCCAATTTTTTTTTGTTTATAATAATACCGAATCACGTATCACTGTTAAGCACAAATGCTAAGTAACTTTTACAAATATAATCAAATAAACCTATTACTTACTTTATTTTTAAATCTTTTTCATCAATTAAATATTTATCATATCCTAACTATCTATACTAATATTATAAAGAGGCAAGATTTGTATGTTTGTAACAAATAATCTGTCAAACTACTGAACCGGTTTCAAATATTAATTCATCATAAGGTAGCTACATTATTTATTATTACATTTTTCTTTATTTAAATACATTTTGTCCGAGTGACATAGGCTATATTACATCCCGATAAATAAATTTCGCCCGTACAATGCCCGGGTGGATCACTAGTAAGTACCTATAATATAATATTATAGATGTGAAAGTGAGTTTGTTTGTTGCGCTTCCGTGCCCTAATAACTAAATCGAATATAATGAATTCCCATATAGAAGTAGATGGGAACTTGGTTCTTAGCTACAACATCGCAATACTTATTGGCGTAGGGTGATGAAAGAGGTGATTTACCTATAAAAATCTACATTATTTACTTTGAATTTTGTAGAATTATTACAAAACCAATATTATCGCGAGCTGATTAATAATATAGGGATTCCAATAAGTATGTACTTACTAGCGAGAAATGGGTTATTTGTCATTATATAAAGTAAACCTTTTTTGTAACATTAAGTAATATCGTTAAAAAAATGAAATACAGTAAAATTCAGAGTTTTTCATTAAAATTCAATAATCATAAATACCTGTTATGATAATATATTTTTCATCATTTAATAAGCAGGAACTGTATCACAGTTTTATTGTTAATGCTTCGTATAGGATCAGATACTGCGAATAGCTCATTTTTTCTTTTACATAGTCTACACCGCGCTATCACTTTGTCATCGTTGTAACTTTTTAAATATTTGTCGAAATGACATAGTGTAAAAATCAAAGTTTATCGTCTTTAAATATTAAAAGCGATAAAAGTATTTGTTTTGATAAAAAATGATTTGTTAATACAAAATGTGCATTTTGGAAATAGATATCAAATAATATTTTAGTTTTGATTCATTATTTTAGCGGTAATGACTTACACATTAAAAATAGATATATGGTGTCACGGACTTTTTTTAGAACTATTTAAGAGATACATTTTCACTCTACATTACATTCATGTAACTTTTATTGTTTTTGCAGTGCAGGCCAAAATGGCTCGCAGATGGAAGATTTTTTTCCGTCTTATGTGACACTTATTGTTATATATTGTCCAATTCACTCAATAACTACATAAATTATTATATATATGTAATTATCATATATGAGCTATATTACTGTTAAGTTTCATTAAAATCCATTCAGTATTTTTTAGGTGAAAGAGTAACAAAGATCCATACAAATGTAAGATTGAAATTAAAAGCGTAAGTGGTTAATATACAACTTTAAAGCGTTCTAGATCCTAAACAATCATATTAAATGAAAAATGGTGTTAGGAACCTAAATATGATTTTTGATTATCTAGACAGTGATACCCCACTCGACATATTTTGTCAACTTATTTTTTTTACTTCGTCACAATATGGCGCCTAATTTTGGCCATATTGAATTTTGATTACTATCATATCTTTAGTAGCACTCCCATGATTGAGACGAATCGATTGATGTATGAATCATCAAAATCGGTCCAGGCGTTTGGTCTCTAGTGTGCCACAAAGAAACAAACATACATATATAGACTGTTAAACACATAACCCTGTCTGCGCGTCGCGCTTCGCGCTCTTGCATTGCGCAGCCGCGCGTCGCGCTTCGCGCTCTTGCATTGCGCAGCCGGGTAAAAAGGGTTGTTTGGATTCAACATTAAATGGTGAATTGTAACTGTTTTTTTTTCTAAATGGCTTCGCACGGCTTGTGTATTTAGCCAATGTCAAGTTTTAAAATGTTTACAAATACTATAGCACTCCTGGTCAA